CCCCAAAACCCCAAAACCCCAAAACCCCTCTAATACCCATTCTGATTGAACACTTTTTAACTACCCCTTGGGCCTTTACAACATCTTGAGGGCTGATTTCAGGTTTGTATTTATAGTGATATTGGGCAACTTCACTGAGCTCTTAGTTGGCTTCAGCCTAATCACATTCTGAACTCGCTTTGGGATAAAGACTGATGGGCAGTCTGAACTAGGCTTCTTCATATTAGATGAAGGTTGAGAGACTACTTGAGTTGCTCCTGTGTCTGTACTGGAGTAAGACTTTCTCAAAGGGAGAGGCTCTAGTGAACTCCCACGCATCCCTGATGGTCTATGAGGCGGTCTAGATTGGATTACACATTAACTGAGGCAGATTAGAAAGGGGAAAGTACTTACCTTTCATACTCATTTGAATATTCATTTCTTAGCTTGGAGTTCCCTGCCCCGAAATGATCTATGAGATTAATCAACATGACTCACCGTTTGGAGTATGGATCTTCTTCCTAGCTCCTTTCTTTGAACTTAATGTGATCCGTTGCTTCTCTAGAATTTAGTAAAATGCAAAACAAACTCTTTGGCTTGGTCTTTAGTTGAGAAATATTTGACTTAATGCTGATTTTACTCCACTTTTTCTCTTCATTTTCCTTCTTCTTAAGATCCTCTAAAAGTTATCGATAAGGTACTCATATGAGTGATCCATTTGGACAGGTCGATACCTGAATAAATATCCCTTCCTTCAGGATTTGGAGAGATTCAGTCAATACTCTTGGAGTTAGCTTTTCTATCTATCAAAACTTGTTTGCCAGAAGCAGCTGAATATTTGTCATCTTCATCAACCTTATCTCCTTTGAGGTAGCCAAATGAGCTCATGATGCCATCTAGCTTCTGGTTATCATGTTTAGGAAGAACTTTTGGTTTATTCCTCAAAATTTGCTTTATCAACCCCATAGTGTTCTTCCTCTGACTGCTTAATTTAAGCATTTTCTCTCCGATGTTAGACGAATTTACGGTCACTTTTCTGCCTGAAGAATTCTGGCTCTCAGAAAGTTGACTACAATTGCCACAATAATTAGGTTGGTTGAGTGACTTAAATATCTCAGGGATATTCTTCCGTTGCTTAGCTTGCTTTTTGACCCTCTTCCGCTTGGAATATCTCTTAGAACTTCCCTTCTTGAGGAATTTCGAGCTTGAAAATTTCTCATTGACTGGTTTGATGATAAACGTTCTGTCTGAATCAGAACAACTGCTATTGAGATCTGACCTCCGAGGATTTTCATGATTTCTGATGGGGTTATACCTGTCAAAAACAGTTATTTTCCTCGAGTTTTGCAACAAATTTTTAGCATTTTCGGTGAAGTCTATATAATTAGAAGTTAAACTAACCTCTTTGGAGTGCGTTGCCTTGACCAAGGTTCCTTATAGAATCTCTGAAACTATTCTCACCCACTGATAGAGACTTTTTCCCAGTGTGCAAAGAGTTGTGTAAAGTGTTATACTCATGATTCTTTTTTGCTTTTATAGCCTGTAGGCTTTTTAATAACTCCTCTTTGGCATTATTTTAAAGCAGAATCAATTTTCTGTTGATCTGTCCCAAAATTATCAAGGTTTTCTTTTAAGAAATAGTAAATTAAATTAGCCTACCTGTCTCGGTACTTTGTGTGTAATGAGCATACTTAGATATCACAGTTATCCTCTTATTCGGAGTTTGCAACAGTTTCACACCTGAAAGATAAAAATGCTGCATACCATTATTGAAACCGTCCTTTAGTCTCCCCTGCCTGTTAAGCTTCACCATACTTCTTGGTTTCTTAGCAGTCACGACTTTGCACTTGAGATCCTTAGAGTCTTCCAATGATGATATTGACTATAAATTTATGCTAAAATGGTTACCTCATCTTGCATATAATCCTGGTTAACTAATTTGTTCCTGGTTTTGTATCTGTTGCTAAATCTATACCTATTTAGGGCTTTCACTCAGGAGTCAGACCCAGAAGGGCAGATCTGGCATGTAGAGGTAAAAATTCCCTTGACAATGGCGACAGCAGTCATGGTCTAAGGCGTTGATGCTGATTATCTGCCTTGGAAGTGAAATTCTTACTTCTTGACACTCTTAGAGTTGACCTGTATGGCTTTAAAATAGTCAAGCCCTGTGCCATGATATGACTCCTGCACCTTGTCTAAAGCATAACAGAAGTTGCCTACTAACAGTAAATGGGTCCATGATAAAGCTGTATAATCTATAATTCCAATTTATTCTTCTGAAAATGGGGTTTTGGGGTTTTGGGGTTTTGGGGTTTTGGGGTTTTGGGG